CAGGAACGCTTCCCTCATGGAATTCCACTCGGTCTCCAAGATCAATAAGCTGGGAAGCATGGAGATCACGATGTGGGCTTTGGGATTCCTCTGCCTGGATGAGGCTCCAAGCTGCGTCAAGTTCACACCCGTGGTGCTCCAAGCGATCCCTGGTTCTTCCCCAAGCAAGTTGGGGTTTTTCAGCTTGTGGGAAGAGCAGGACGGCGGGATCCTGGCGAACTCGGTCGCGTCCAAAGTGCTGACCATCGAGAATTGGAGCATGAGCAAGGAGAGTTTGAGTGGAATGAATCTGAGAAGCCTCGACGCCAAGCTCGATCTCTGCAAAGGCTTGGAACTTCATCCAGCGCATGACAGGAGCAACCAGGAATTATTGGGAGGTCTTGATCTGCAGAGCTTCGACGTGAAAACAGCCCCGGAAGCCGCGGGATTCAGGCTCAACGAGAGGGTGACAAACATCACTCGACCAAACAGGCGCTTGTGTTTGCTGGGGATCGATGACAACACCACCGGATCATCTTTGGATTCCTCGTTGTCCTTCGACTTGCGAACCACGACGACACTGGTAGAAATCCTGGGCTCTTTTATGTCTCAAGTCAAGAATTCTTACATCCAAGCACAGAGCTCGGCGCTAGATCTCGAGCATCCCGGCACCGATTTCTGGGTGGCCGCGGTCGCGCTCCCCGGCGCATTCATCGCGGTCGTAGCTGCGGCGCAGCCTTTCATCAACTTCCAGCTCACGTTCTTCCGAAACTTGGTGAGATCACAGGGCTGGAAAACGGCACTTCTGTGTGTCAGTAACTCCGTGCTCGCTCTCGGCTCGTACTCGGCGATCATCACCGTGACTCCAGCCGAGATCCAGAGGCAGGAGAAACTGAGGACCTGGGGATTGCTTGCAGACCAGGTTCCAATCACGAACCGTGGCCTCCAAGTTTTGGTAGTGGTCAAGGGGGAATCAAGTTACAGATCGGACAGCCTCTTGCTTGTGTGGTGTTCCACCGCCGTGCTTGTTCCTGTCATCGCCTGGATGACGTTTTACAGGTGCAAGCAAGTGTTTTACGTGAGGAGGATGCTCAAACTCTTGGCTGAGCTGGAGCCTGAACGCCACGACGCCGACGAAAGCAATGACGAGAGACTTGATGACCTGCGAGCCATTGAGATGGGTTCCGTGGAGCAGCGGCAACTCGAGAAGAGGCTTGCAAAGATGAACGCCATGCCTGGGACGAGCATGGTGACATCTGTTAAATCACTGGCTCGCCAAAGACAATCCTTAACACGTAGGCATTCATGCACGAGGCAAAATGCGTAACATCGAAATCTAACTTGTAAAATATTCTTCAAGCTCCTACCCTCTCCAAATTCTTTAAACGGCTTCTACAACTGCTGTGGAATCTGCTAACCACCAACTGAATGTGGTATTTGCTACTGCTTGCTTGCTGAATGCTGGTACGACTGTTGAACTAGAACTTTTGACTTCAGAAAAACGAATGCATTTTCATCCAAGGCCACTACATTTGCTGGGGAGTACTAATTATAATTTCTCAGATTGTGCCACTGTGCCATGCTCGACGGCATGGCTGTATTTTTATGACTTCAAAATTGATTTTTCTCTCAATTATCTTCCCTAAAAAATTGATTTCTCATTAGGGTAACGTAATTGTGATGCCTTTCCTCCTGCCGCCGCGCCGCATGCATATCCATCAAGCTGATGCAAGGGCATTTGCAACATGGCTCCAGGAAAATCTTCCTTTGGTGCATGCCATTCTTACCTTCTATGGCTGGATGGAGATTGTAGGGTTGCAAGGGTGCAATGATCCGCTTCCTCGTGAGTTCACTATCCATTTGCGTGAAGCTCGCCCAGTTGAAGGTAAGGGTTTGTTTGTGGTTTGTTTGTGCTGGTTGGCTGGTTGCTGTTTGCCTTCTTTGCTGACTATCTTACGATACAGTGCCCCAAGTGCCTCAGGAGGGGCTACCGAATTTGGTGCCCTTCTCGGATGTGGTTTGCAACTTCACGCTTCCGTTCAGAGGTCGAGATGGCCTCGTGCAGAAGCTCGCAGAGACGATTGATGACCTTCACAACTTTCGCATCTAGTGGGATTAGCAGAGAGCAGGCGGAAGACTCGATTCCTTTTAGAGACCAAGGAGCGTGTTGGAGAGGCGCTTAAAGGCAATTTATAATTTCAAAACCAAGAAAATAATTAATTTGTCTTTGAATTCAATTTATTTCTTCTCCAAAAAAGACTTACTCTAGCTTGTAGGCACCTCCCTGTCAATTGTTTCTAACTAGCTTTGCATGCCTGCTTACTTGCTTCTGCTGATGCTGCACACGTCCAGAATTATAGCCTTGTCCACCACTGTTGGAGAATCTCATAAGACAGAAAAAGACTCTGATCTGTATTGCCCTTTGAAGTCTCACATCTCACATCTTGATATACATCAGCAGTTCTCTAGAATCACACCACCATTTGCTCTAGTAGCATAGTGATGGTGAAGCTTTTCTGAATTTATATGATGCACATTTTGATCTTTAAAGATTTGTGTCAAAGTTTAGAAATGCTCATGAACTTTTCGTGCAAGGATAAGTATTGAAAAATCAATTACAAACACCCTACAATTAAACCATATAAAAGTACTCCATAATTTTAAAATTAAACTTTTCAAGTTTAATTAATTTAAAGCAAATAAATCCATCCATTTTATCTAGAATCTAAATTTGCAATTAGGGAGCATATCCTTTGGTCAAAGACTTAGTCAAACAGGTGCCAATCTATACCTGATTGAAATCAAGATATTATAATATTTAAAAGATGCTTTTAAAATCTTTTTGTTTGCAACCTAAGGTTAGGGTTTCCTTGCTTTAGGGCTCTAGCAATATTAAAATAACTTAATTGTGATGGCGAATGCCCTTACATCTAACATCAATCCATCTTCAAGAAAATGAATTGGAGAAGGCTTTGCTAGTCACGAAGGCAAGAGCATTTAAGTCAGTGCTGGAGGATTTAACTAATGTAAGGGCATTTGCAACATATCTCCAAGAAAATCTACCATTGGTGCATGCCATTGTAAGCGACTAAATTTTCCATTCTACTTTAATCACTTAACCACACCTTCAACCACTTAGAGGAGTCTCATTCATAACGTCCATAAGTCCTATTTTGGACTTGGGGACTTGCTAACCCTAGGAATGGCATCCATGCCACTCCACCATTGCACTTGGTCCAAGTGCTCCACGTGCCTGGTCCCATGGCCGACACCCCTAAGGTACCACTGACATACTAGCCCGTTACGCTAAGGCCATGCCCCTTTACCTTGGTCACACCGGTGGTCCAACACCACTTGCATCGAAATCCCGACTCTCAAGGATTGGGCCATCTGTCCAGGAGTGACCATCCAAGATCCACTCCTTAACATCTTTAAGATGCCCGCAAATATGGGGAATAACCTTCCTTAATATCCCTTTTACAGTCCCCACCAAGTCCCTCTTCTGTCTATGGCTGTGTTTGCCAACATTGCCACTGGGACAGGGCCCATAGGCTTGACCACTAAGTCCTACTATCCTCTGGGATTTCCTCACCACATAACCATACCATTGGTCACTACACTAGAGGGCCATTCCTCTTCCTTTCCATAGTCTAGGACTTTGGGACAACATTTCAAAACACTGTAGCCTTACGCAAGCCTCATGGGTACTTTCCCCACCTTCTGCCTTTTAGTGATTTAGCCATGGGCTTAGAGTGAGGTTCCGTTGAGCCACACCAGGTATCCAAGTAGGTAGTGCCACCCACACTTGAACTGGGAGCATCGACTATTCGATTTCCCAGAGGAACTAGAGCCAACTCTTGAACACTTCACCAAGCTACCCCACTTGATAGTCCGTATTCACTTTAGCCTTGGACCTCCCAATGGTTATCCCGTCACCCAACACCTGGGCATGGCCTTCCTGGGCTAAACTGGCTTTTCCTGGCCAAACTGGCTTCATTGGAGTCCTCCCCCTCACTATACTTTTGGAGCTCACCAAATCCCCTAGGGTCTGGGAGATGAATGCTTTGGGCTTTCACCCTCTCAGACTCGAACTCGGACTCAAGTTCGGACTCGGTCTCGGCCTCGGCCTCGGTCTCGGTCTCGGTCTTGATCTCAGTCTCGGTCTCGGTCTCTGTCCCGGTCTTGGTCTTGGTCTTGGTCTCGACCTCGGACTCCATCTCGGGTCCTTCTTGGACTCCATCTCGAATTCCATCTCGGGTCCATCTCGGACTCCACCTCGGACTCTGTCTCGGTCCATCTTGGACTCCATCTCGAACTCCATCTTGGGTCCATCTCGGACTCTATCTTGGATCCCTCTCAGACTCCATCTCGGACTCTGTCTCGGTCCATCTCGGACTCCATCTCGGACTCCAACTCGGGTCCATCTCAAACTCCATCTCGGATACTTCCACATGTCATGTGTTGGTTCTTTTGGGTCCCTTTTTGGAACTTCGCTTATTGCTCGCTTCATGCTTGTTCCTCGAGCACTTTGTTGGGAGTTCCACTCCCGCTTTCAACTTTTCAAGTCGGAGCTTTTAGTCCAAACGTGTTACGCTCGTTTGGCTTTCGCTTCGGCCACTACTACGTGGCTGTAGCGCACCTTATCTCTCTCCCCTTAAGCCAACTGGAAAAGGGGCAATTGCTTGATGAGAGAGCCCTTAGTGGCTATTTTATCCCCATTTATCCCCCAAGGTTCCAAGGATCCACGGTGACAATATATCCAAATCTCATCCCATGATCACATGCGCTACATTCACCCCCCCTTTAGAGATGTCAATGTCCTCATTGACTATTGACTAGTAACCCCTACTGAGCCAAGGGGAACCAGCACCTCCATTTCCGCACTCAATCTACCAATCCTTCCATTGAGGAAGGACGTACGCATGGATGCCCAATACGTACGATTTCAAATTTAGGGGTAGGAATATACCTTGCTCAAGGGTATATTATATTTTAGGTAGCCACTAATTAATGGGAATCGAACCCGTGCCATTTTCTCTGATACCAACTGTAGCGCACCTTATCTCTCTCCCCTTAAGCCAACTGAAAAAGGGGCAATTGCTTGATGAGAGAGCCCTTAGTGGCTATTTTATCCCCATTTATCCCCCAAGGTTCCAAGGATCCACGGTGACAGTATATCCAAATCTCATCCCATAATCACATGCGTTACAGTGGCAACCTTTTGGCTCCACTTTGGGGCCTAGGGATTTTGTGTCTCATAACTCCACCACCCATAGACAAAGTTTGATGTCCTCATCAAATAATAAATTATTTTATAAAGTAGCACCAATATGTATCACCTTTTCCATCCTTGGCACCTTGCTAATATTCATCAATGGTTTGATACCAAAGGCTCTCCATGCCTTGCCCATCCTTTAAGGAGGATAGTCTCTCCAACTTAGAGATTGATTGGACCACTTGTGGTGGTTCTCTCCTTTTATTGGTTTAGTTCTCATTAAACCTGTTAGAGACACCGTTTCTATCTCAATCCCACTACTCCATTTCGAGTAGTCTTAGCTTCCATCAATATGACCTTTGCACTTTGAAACTTTTACTTTTGACTTCTCATAGTCAATATCCTAGGTGTCTCCAACACTTTACTTTGCACATATTGTGCAACTCCACTTCCCTATCTTAGGAAGTTCTTTACTTGAGGGCACCATCATCCTTTTTTCTATTTCATGCCACCTTAGGCACTAAGTTCTAGTTATCATAATTTGTGCTAGGGCTGTCTATGGCCCTATCATTTGGCTACCTTACCGCTCCCTCCCTTGGAGCTTCTACTTTCGCCAAATCAGAGCAATTGGGAATCCATCCTTGGAAACACATTGCATTTCCCACAATTCGTTAGCACCTAACACATTAGTGTTCTTGGTCTAACTTTGCATTTCGGATTCTTTCCCATTATTCCTATGGCTCTTTTCTTAGCCACTAGTCTTTTGCTCCTATCTTTGATTATTGCACCTAGCAACATCGGATCACTACCTCCATTCTCGAGGTATCTTTTTGGTTCCATAGCAAAGACTTTGTTTTGCCAAGTCCAGAGGGTGTTCACCCCTAGTACGTATCTTTAGGATATTCTACTGTGGGCTCTATCCCTGTGTAAGCCACAAATTTTTCCTTTCTAATTTGCCAGCTTACCTCGTCTATCCGTCCAACACTACTTTGGCTTTTGCTAAGTTCCCTTGCTAAGATTCCTGCCTATGGTACCAGCTCTTACTTGGTCCTACTTGGTTTCAGCTACTCACTGCACGAGCAACGGAGTGTTAGCCATCCATCCATGGATTCCCAAATCTCTCATAATCCCCCTCTTGGGTTAGACTGGACTTAAGGTTCGGCTACACTCCCCACAAGCACAAGCAGCCAAGCATACCAAGCTTCTAGGTTCC